ATCCTCAACTTTATAGCCTTCAGGTTGATGCATGTAGATCTCTTCATCCAAGTTTCCGTGCAAGAACGCCGTCTTGACATCGAGTTGTTCCAGCTCAAGATCACCATGAGAAACAATACTCAATAGCACCCGAATAGAAGTGTGTTTCACTATCGGAGAAAATATCTCATTGTAATCCACACCCTCTCTTTGTGCAAACCCCTTAGCCACTAGCCTCTCCTTGTACCTCATACCACCGAGCTCTGAAGGATCTTTCTTTCTTTTATACAGCCACTTACAACCTATAGCTTTTTTTCCTACGGGCAATGGGATCACCTCCCATGTTTGGTTCTTCCGGAGAGATTCCATCTCCTCCTCCATCGCAGCCAACCAACTCTCGCTATCTCTATCCCGAATAGCTTCCTTGAAGGATACCGGCTCATCTTCCTCCACTGAGAGTGCGTACTCAACCAAATTAACTTGCCCATAGTGCTTCAGGGGTTGATGAACCCCCAGCTTCTGTACCTGCTTGTATGCTCGCCTTGGCCTAGTGAAAACCAAGCTATCCTCGAGCTGCTGTTGTTGTAGTGCCTGTGTATTCTGCTGCTAAACCTCCTCGTGCTCAAGCTCATCATCTACCTGATTTCCCACTTGAACACGACTAGAACCTGGTTGGTCTTTAGGTTCTATCTCAATAACCTGGGACTTTGAAGTCCTAACAGTCTCAATACCATTATCCTTGGGCACCCTAGCAATCATAGACTTCTCATCAAAGGTAACGTCCCTGCTAATCACGAACTTTAAATCTTCTATACACCAAAAGCGATAGCCTTTTACACCCTTTGCATTATACCCCAAGAAAATTGCCTTTTTGGCCCTTGCGTTAAGCTTTCCCTCGTTGACGTGATAGTTGTTCGCGAGAAAAATCGTAGCTTTCATTGATGCCATTGTATACTCTTGTAATAGTTTATCAATTACAAAGATCCGGTCTTTTTATAAGATCCGGTTACAACGAGATCAAAAGAAAAATAAAAAGTTACAATCTTCCTTGTTTGTCGAACGAATCACGAGCTCCTGTTTTGCGGTCACTCGCTTTTGTGGGTTCTTTGCTTGCGCCGGGGTTAATCCGTGGACCACCGGGCGATCTAGATCCGGTCGGATCTACACAATACGACGGGTGTTATTTCACTAAGGAAATAACAGCCGAGGGTACTATTTCACCAAGGAAATAATAGTCTTTAGTAATCGAAATCGACCAAGCGAAATCGAGACTCTTCTCGGGATCAAAAACCAAGTTTTGATCCGGAGGGTAACCGTGTAGATCTCAGATCTGATCTCTCTCGAACTCCTGCCTTATTTGGCGTGGATGATCGCCAAGAACCAGATCTGATATGTCCAAGTCTTCAAAGTTCCAAAGCTTCAATCTTTTTAAGTTTTGAGCCTTCAATCCAGCAGAGCTTCGCCTCCAAAAGTTCCAACCTCTACAAATGAGCCACCTCTAGCCTATTTATAGGCACTCTTCACTGTGCCCTGGCACAGGTGGCCGAACCACCTAGCCACCAGAAGGTGGCCGAGGCACCAAGCCACCCGGGTGACTCGGTTTTTGGCCGGGCGTTTCGCTGTTGTGTCCGTTTGTCCGGTTTCACGATTTATCGGTTTATCCGAGCTTCGCTGTTGATCTGAACTCTGATTTGGCAGTCCGGATCCTGATTTGGCAGTAAATCCGCTTTGGAGTTCGAGTTCGAGCTCGAGTTCGTTCCCGATCTTGTTTGAATATATCGCCCGATGGTTCGTTGGGAGTCGCAGTTCTGGATGCTCTCAGAGTTCTTGCGCGATCTGTTGATCTATATTCGCACCGCATTGTCTTCCGCTTATGTTGTATGTAGCGGAAACATTGCGAATGAATTAAGAATAATTTGATTCTCTCCTTTGTTTAAGACTGGGTTCTTCTCGGTAGCGATGGAATGCCTCCTTCGATTGCTCGCGTCGAAATTGCTCTCCGTTGACGATCCGACCGTCTTCTATCTCGTGGGAACGATGAACTTCTGTGGAAAGTTTTATAAGTAACTCTTCAACGAGTTTAAGAACTCTGAACGAGTTAGAACTCTGTGAATAAAGTTGTTAGAACCGAAAATTCGGTTAATGATCAAGCTGTTATTCTGAAAAATCCTATCTCCAAGGATTTCGCTGCTGCTGTTGAATCGCCCAACCCGAATGGTTTAGATCCTGTGCGGTTTTGATCTTCAGAATCCAACCTCTGTGGTTCAGATACCGAAAATCCAACCCTCTGCTCCGTTGGGTTTGTTGAGCTTTTATAGGGGATAAGAGGTTGTAACTGACCCCTATATCTGCTCCTACGTGGACGAAAATCCCTCAGAACGTGGGATAAATGGTTCTGAAACCGTTCGGACTCATGTTTGAACGAGTCAAACGCCCATTGTGGCGTTCAGAACCCAACTTCGCCTCTTAGAATAGAGACGCGAGGTTGGGTGTTAGCTGAACATCATTGAACGCGATGGTCGCTCGTGTTTTGGCTTGTTGCCTGCTTGGAAATGTGGGGGTCAGTGTTGGTTGGACCCCTACGAACGCGAGGGTCACTCATGTTTGGTCTGTGGCTTGGAAACGCGGGGGTTGCCTGCTTTTCCATAGTTGTAACGCGGGGATGACATCCGCGTTTCAGAAAGAGCTTTTTGACTTGTAACTTCTTCTGTGAAGCGTTGCGAGGACCGTTGTTCAGTAATCCTGGCTTTAGCTGTTGTTGGGTATGAAAGTCGTCAGATTGTAACTTTCACCGTAGATTGTGAAGACTGCTGAATAGAGCTTGAGAATCAATAGGAGGGCTGTAATACCCCAAAATTTAGTCCCATATCGGATACTGAGTGAGTGATTGAATGGTTTACATGATGGGTCTTGAGAGCCAAGTGTAACATTGGCTAGCCAATTTTGACAGTGGATTGAGCCAACCACGTGTTGCCCTCCTTGGATCTCAGGACGTACATCACGCCAACGAGCTCGTGGGCCAAGGCCGTGACAAGGACAAATTAGCAAAAGCAAAAACTTTGTTTTATCTACAATGTCCATTGATTCCTATTAACAAGAATTTGATGTCATCAATTGCAAGTAAATTAGTCACCAACTAAGATGATGAAAAAGTTTCAAATTTGAAGACAGTAGGTAAAGCCTCTAGAAAACAAACCAGAGCTTCTATATTTCTTTTTCTGACCATTTTATCCAACAATATCCAGGACTATCAACCATAAACACAGATGCTTCAACCTCAATGTTTGAAAGAAAGAACTCAATCTATCTAATGAAGTAAAAGAAAGCCCAGAAATGCCAAAACAAGATCGCTGATATAAAAGGCCATTCACAGAACAAAAAAGGGTTACAGGAGAAACATCTGAAAAAAGATTTAGAATAATAGATAAAGGTATACTTCCAAACAATCCAAATCTACTCATTACGAAGAAACCACTATGAGAACAAATATTCATCAATAACTGAAACGTACGTAGACTATGTCATGTCAGTTGAAGTCGTCTCTCCACCGCAACACTAGAAGACGTTGACTAACTTCGACCGGGTACAGAGATTCTCCGCCCCCCGAAACTCCAGGAACTGTTTTTGTAACTTCAAGTTGGTCTATGTACTCTCCATCAAAGATAACAAGAATTTGATCAAAGTCTTCATTTACACCCGATTTTACTATGACAGGATCTGCTACAATAATATGTGTATTGAAGTTGGCCCTTACTAGCTTTAACAATGAGAAAGAAATAATGTCGCTTCATAAGAAGTGGAAATATGAAGGTTGAGACCAGATATTACGAAGATCGATCAGATCAGCGCGTTGAGTGGAGACCAAGTAGCACTAAAAAAATCAATAGGAATTGGTTTGGTCATTTCTAAACCCAAGTATGACGCCAAGAAGATTCACTTGAGAATCAATAGGAGGGCTGTGATACCCCAAGATTTAGTCCCATATCGGATACTGAGTGAGTGATTGAACGGTTTAAATGATGGGTCTTGAGAGCCAAGTGTAACATTGGCTAGCCAATTTTGGCAGTGGATTGAGCCAAACCACATGTTGCCCTCCGTGGATCTCAGTACGAACATCGCGCTAACGGGCTCGCGGGGGCCCGGGTCGTGACAAGGGCAAATTAGCAAAAGCAAAAACTTTGTTTTATCGACAATGTCCACTGATTCCTGTTAACAAGAATTTGATGTCATCAATTGCAAGTAAATTAGTCAGCAACTAGGATGATGAAAAAGTTTCAAATTTGAAGACAGTAGGTAAAGCCTCTAGAAAACAAACCAGAGCTTCTACATTTCTTTTTCTAACCACCTTATCCAACAATATCCAGGACTATCAAAATTTTTAATAGTAACTAACAGTTGTTGATTTGCTGGAACAGCGAAAGATGGACGTTCACCATTCTTTATGTCATTCTCCAATGACATCTCCCATCTCAGTTCGCTCCTCTCGAGTCTCTAAGTTACTTTGGCAAAAGATGCCAAGTCCAAGCATCGAGCCTGCACACTCTATAACTCTTAGGCCATTCATAATCTTTGTCATCGTCAGCATTCCCTTTACGATCTCCATAAACTTGTGAATACTACGGCCTTCTACAAGAATAATTACAGTAGGTAAAATCTCTTTGCAGCAATCAGCTCCAATAACTTAATTATAGGAATCGCCAAAGTAACTATGAAAAGCATAAACACAGATGCTTCAACCTCAACGCTTGAAAGAAAGAACTCAAATCTATCTAATGAAGTAAAAGAAATCCCAGAAATGCCAAAACAAGACCGCTGATATAAAAGGTCATTCATAGAAAAAAAAGGGTTACAGGAGAAACAACCAGAAAAAGATTTAGAATAATAGATAAAGGTATACTTCCAAACAATAAAAAGGGTTACAGGAGAAACAACCAGAAAAAGATTTAGAATAATAGATAAAGGTATACTTCCAAACAATCCAAATCTACTGATTACAAAGAAACCAAAAAGATTTAGAATAATAGATAAAGGTATACTTCCAAACAATCCAAATCTACTGATTACAAAGAAACCAATATGAGAACATATATAAAAACAAGTTCATCTCTCTTATTGTCACTATAAATCTCTATGTTCCTGATACCATTTGCCTGCTTCAATACATTCTCTATCTTCATTCCTCTACAGTAGTTTGCTCGAGCAGACAATGCCGGTCCTGAGTATGGAGATTATAAACAAGTGTAAATCAATGACATTTCAAGGAAATCAATTATATTAACAAATTCTTAAGGCTTAAAACTTGGAAGATATCACCAGCATCTCTATGCAAAAACATTAGTACTTTATGGCTATAGCAATCTCTAGGAATAAGAACTCTATGTCCATCCCATACTCTATTTCTGATGACATGTACATATGCAACTAAGGTAGCATAGCATAAAGATAAACTGAGAAATTCTGCAGACAGAAAAATAACAACAACAACGATGGTTGACCGCATGAATTCTTTCTTTCGTCAACATTTATTTAAGGGGCAACTTAATTAAATTACTAATGTGTGAGCAGGGGGAATTTCAACAGGAATTCTCTTTAACACCCAACAAATACACACACATGGGCGTTAGTAGGAACCATTTTCTTCCACTTAGTAATAAAAACCACTTTCACTTTGGTTACTAATATATAAGCACATGGAATTTCAACAAGAATTTATCTATAGCACGCAACAATGATTAAAGCACTATCGACTCGCTATCTTTCACCATCCCATCCCTCCAGAATATTGTGATGTTGGTAACAATTTACAATGCATAGGTTGTTAGCTTTTGTTTCATTATCTTTCTGTTGCTTGAGGGTTTCATGTGTCTGAAGTAAATTGTATTGCTCAGGTATGTCTGTACCTTGATGTTGCATGTAAATGCTCATTTGGTTAATGGAATTATATTTTTCATCGACCAAAAAAAAAAAAGCTGAATGTATGGAATTCAATAGGATTACTCTACAGTATACTAGTGCAATTTTTTTTCCCTTTTATGTAGCTTACATTAAAGGATCATTCCACGATTAAATATTTGCAATTAAAATTACCATAATGACTAAGCAATATATTTCAAAAGAAACTATCCATAATAAATTAGCTATCCTCACTTAAATCAACCATCATGATCGATCGAATTAATTTCAGTAGGAATTTTGTGTGTGAATTTTATTAGTGTGTGTGACACATGCATAGCACATTCCCATACCAATGTTTGTCAGTGATTATTTGTAGATGGACCTTCACCACTCTGTAGTACTCTCTGTCTCTCCCCATAATTTCCATTCCTCATGAGCATATCTCTAACAATATGCAGTTCCTTGATGATTTTGTCCGTCTCCATTCTCTCTGCTGGTAATTCATTTGAGCAAGAGATACCGATTCTAAGAATTGTAGCCATGCAGTTGGTTGCTCTTGCATAATTCATGCTTTCAGCATCATCACTTGGTGTGAGCAAATGAGCTTCAATGACATCTGTGATTTGTTCAGGAAATGCCATCTTCACAAACATAGGAAGAGTAAGACCTCCTACAAACATATCATCAGTAGGTCTCTTTCCTGTAAACATTTCTAGTAAAAGGATCCCATAGCTATACACATCTCCACAAGTTGAAACTTCATTCCCCATTCCGTACTCTGTTATAGGTGAAATACATAGAAGCAATTAGAATGGATTACACTGAGATAATTCCAAGAGAAAGAATAAAGTAAGATTGAGTATTACATTTTCCTCATCAAATTAATTATGCATTATATGGAATGCTAAGAGATTATTTTCAGTGAAGTACATAAGATGAACACATAGAAGTCATAGTTTAATTATGATAATAAAATTAAATCTTTAATTTCAGAACATATTCTGACATAAATGTGTTAGCAAAACATGCATGTATGCATTTGAAACTTGCACGTGTGAAGAAAAACAAACAATGCATTGTGTTCAACTATTAAAGGAAAAATCTACCGTGATGTTTAAGGTTCAGATAGTAATCTTGTTTTCTCTTTTAAAATTTTAGCCTAAGAAAATAATACAACATATATAAAAGTAACGAAATCAAGAAAATTTTAGCCTAAGAAAATAATACAACATGTATAAAAGTAACGAAATCAAGAAAATATAAGTTTTTACCTGGAGCAATATACCCGATAGTTCCTCTGAGACCAGCTGAACTTGTTGAGTACTGAGAGGCAACCTTTTTGAGAAACTTGGCTAACCCAAAGTCACCAACATGAGCAATAATATTATAATCCAGAAGAATGTTGCTTGGCTTCAGATCACAGTGAACAATTGGTTTGCCACATTGATGGTGGAGATAATCCAAAGCATAAGCTACGTCAATAGCTATATCTAGCCTTGCCATAAGGTTCAATTTCTTTGGTTTGGACTGCTCATTTGCTTTGGGATGCAACCAATCATCTAAACTTCCATTTTCCATGAACTCAAAAACTACAGCTTTGAAGTCATTACCTTTGAAATCTACACCCGAACATATTGTAAGGATCTTGAGAATATTCCGATGCCGAATGTTTTTCACAGCATCACATTCTGCTATAAATGTCCTCGATGCTCCTTGTATTTGAAGGTTCAATACCTTTACAGCAACAACTTTCCTACTTTCACCATCGAGTAGTCCTTTATATACTGTACCAAAACTACCAGTCCCAATTATATTGCCCTCAGAAAATCCATTTGTAGCTCTCACTAGATCACCATAAGTGACCTTCACATTTTGCTCGATTGTGGGTGATGAGTCAAGAGAATTTATTCTTGAACCTTTTCGATGGCATCGGACTACGAGGAAACAGAAAAGAAGAATCACAAATATAAGTAAAATAGTACTCCCGCAGATCACTATTACTGTACGTGAGTGATGTTTCTTGTTAAAGGGTTCAGAAGGGCAAGCTGGCATCCCGCAGATCACTATTACTGTACGTGAGTGATGTTTCTTGTTAAAGGGTTCAGAAGGGCAAGCTGGCAGATGCATTTCTGGGTTCCCTCCACAAAGCTTACTATTTCCAATAACTGAAACTGCACTTGCATTTGCAAACACACCAAGTAGTGGCACTTCACCTTCAAAGTTATTGAAGGACAGATTCAAATAGTCTAGGCCATGAAAATCCTGTAAGAAATCAGGTATTTTTCCCGACAATTTATTTTTTGCAAAATCGAGCTTCTGGATGCCTCTTAATGAGGCTAAAGAAGAAGGAATACTTCCTTGAAAGAGATTTCCACCAACATAAAGTCCCTCCAGCACTTGACACTCACTGAGAGTGCTAGGGATTTCACCAGACAATTTGTTCATGCTGAAATCTAATATATTCACGTTTATTAAGCTCCCGATTTCAGATGGTATCAACCCTGACAGTGAATTGGATGCCAAGCTTAAAGATATGGAGAGTCCGGATATGGAGACAACTTCTTTTGGGATAATGCCTGTAAGTTTGTTAGATCCGAGGTCTAGACGTATTAGGTTTTGGCACTTTCCAAGACTAACTGGTATATTTCCGCTTAGTTCATTGGAATCTAGATAAAGTTTATTCAATTGAGTAAGGTTGCCGATGGTAGATGGAATCTCTCCAGTTAGCTTGTTATTGCCCAAAGCCAATAGATTCAACTTCCGAAGCATCCCAATGCTTAAAGGAATGGAGCCATAAATCAAATTTCCATCCATAGAAAATACCATAAGGTTTACGAGGTTTCCGATATCAGAAGATATTTTTCCAGAGATGTAGTTATTATCCATATCAAGATGCTGAAGATTGGTGGAAAAATTAGCAATGGAATCCGGTAGCATGCCACTAAGATTATTTGATGCTAGCGTCAACCACTCCAACTGGGTACAATTGGTCAAAGCGGTTAGGAAGTTCCATCCATCAGGTTCCGTGGTTTCTAAGTGGTTACTATGTAGAAGTAGAAACTGCAGCTCTCGTAAACTTCCGAGGCTAGGAGGGATTATTCCACTGAAGATGAGATGCGTTGGATAATGACATTGGGATAGGTCCGTGGAATTGGTTAAAGGCCAGGGAAATACCTACAAGCAGAGGAAGGGCTTGGCCTATGTTTGGTGGAAGTGACCCAGATAGGTGATAGTTGACTGACAAGTCTAGAGAAGAAAGAGAAGAGAGATTCCACAATGAAGGTGGTATGACCCCGGAGAGGTTGTTAAAGGGCAAGTAAAGGTCTTCTAATTTAGAAAGCCTGCCGATTGAATGTGGTATGCTTCCTGATAATTGGTTACCATAAAGTGAAAGGCTAGAAAGAGAAAAGAGATTACCTATGCTCGGTGGGATGCTACCAGTGAGTTCGTTATTGTGCAAGTAAAGTATAGTTAGAGAGGTGAGGTTAGCTATGCTAGATAGGGTGCTGCCACTAAAGCTGTTGTTGTTCAAAAACAGGAATTGAAGTCTAGAACAATTGCTGAGACTGGCTAGGCTTTCACCTCTGAGCTTGTTATCCCACAGAGAAAGTACCTCTAATTTTGAACAGTGAGAGAGTGAAGCAGGAATACTTCCTTCAAGAGAATTCGAACTCAAGTTGAGATGTGTCAACCTGGAAAGGCGACCAAACTCTTGTGGGATGGATCCATTAATTTGATTGTCAGACAGATCAATCTCCCTAAGAAATGTGAGGTTAGCTATAGCCGTCGAAATAACTCCAACCAGATCGAGGGAGCTCAAGTTCAAGGATACAACCCTTTGAGGATGCCGGAAGCCACCACAAGAGATGCCTTGCCATTGGCAGAAATGAACAGAGTCATTCCACGAGGCCAGTGATCCTCTAGGATCGCCTGATATCATGGATTTGAAGGAGAGAAGTGATTGTCGATCAGTGACATTGTCGTGTTTTGGATGGAAGGTGGGGATGGATGTGGAAGCTTTAGGGCATGAGAGGAGGACTAGAGCTGTGAATACTGAAAAAACGACCTTCTGTGACATTGGAATGGATTCTGCAAATGTGATATGAATGATATATGATCGAATAATTCTTACTATCTATTTATAGCTTTAAGGTCTTTCGGTCTTCATACACGAGTCTCAGCTAAAATCTTAGTCGATTAAAAGTTTAGCACCATCAAAGAATTGTCAGCAGTAGCCTCGCTTTCAAGAATTGAAGTTATTGGAATATTCAACCGTAATGCAAATGTGGACAATAAATAACCATCAGAAGGTCACATGGCAGGACTTTTATCCTTGGGCATCAGTAGAAGACTTGGACTTACTTAAGGTGGAAGTTGATCTAATACTTCACACCTCAAGTCATCTCCTCTTGGCAGGTTGGTCTGTTTGCCCGCCTCCAGCAAAGGTAAGAGGAAAGAAACTTCAAAGGCCTAGGTTTCTGTTTTGAGATTCTTGACAGGCTGTGGAAATACAAGAGTGGAAGCTCTCCGTGATATATGATCAAACCCTTGTTATGCATTCAGGCTTCGATATTCTTGGTCTGCATCTTTAATTACTGAGGAAATACTGATAGGATGTTACTATGAAGCACATGTGATTGTGTCCAGCAAGGACAAGGGTAGGATGCACTAAAATGAAGAGATTATAGCCAGATATGTCTATGTGGTCTATGTACTCTTACCCAAAGATAAGGAGAGGGAAATGTCATAGACAGTTACAGATCACAAGAAGAGGGAAAGATGCATAAAAAGACATTTACATCCCAATTATCTTTCCTTGGCATCAATAGAGGACCTTGACTTAAAGTTGGTCTGCATCAATAGAGATGAGTTATTTTGGACCTTTTGTTTCAATCTGGATATGCGTGTGTGGAGGTTATAACATGAATGCTACAGGGACTTTTGCAGCGAGGCCTCACACCTCAAGTCATCTCCTCTTGGCAAGTTGGTCTGTTTGCTCTCCATCAAAGACAAGGGGAGAGGAACTTCAAAAGGCCTAGATTTCTGTTTTGGAATTCTTGACAAGCTGTGGAAATAGAAAAGTCGAAGCTTTGTATGGTATGAGCTAGATGGTAGGAGTAATGCGTATATGCATACGCAACACGAACCTCCAACCTCCTATATGCTGGCTGAAATTATTGTACCAATCTCTTTATTTGAAATTTTCATCACCATTTTTAGAAAAGGAAAATTAGCCACTTTTTGACTTTAATTCCAGCAAAACTACCAGCTCTTAGAAAGAAGAAGGGGAAATAAAACAACAAGAGCCTTCCTTGAAAAGGTCAGATAATAGAGCTAGCTGCAAGTGATGATATATTCAAATAGCAAGAAAGGCATAAAATCTGAAAGAATATGCTAATCACAGAATTGGTCTGAAGATATCCCCTCTTATTTGCTCAATAACTGGAATTCATGAACAAGTTGTTTCGTGCATAGCGTGTCAGGAGGTTGACCTTGTGATTGGAAGAGAGAGAAGTTGTTGCTAGAGTTTCTACTTGAAAGTTGAATAATTCCCTTGTCTCATTACGTTAACCAGGTTTGCCTTATATACAATTGCTACAGGCTTGATTCTAGGAATTAATACAGGCTTGATTCTAGGGAGCTTGATTCTAGGGAGCTTGATTCTAGGAATTAATACAGGCTTGATTCTAGGGGATAATCACGGCAACAGTTAGGCAATTATATACCTAATAAAGACTATTGCCATATTTACATTTATTTACATAAATATATTCTATCACACCTCCGCAGTTGAAGCGGGAGGAGGTCGTACGCTGAGACTGTCCCGAAAATCTTCAAAAAGAACCAAGGGAAGACCTTTCGTAAAGATATCTGCGATTTGATACCGCGACGGGACATGTAAGACACGTATTTGTCCACGAGCAACCTTTTCGCGAACAAAGTGAATATCCATCTCAATGTGCTTAGTGCGTTGATGTTGAACTGGATTCCCGGAGAGATATATCGCACTAACATTATCACAATAAACCAATGTAGCCTTCTGCACAGGACAGTGAAGCTCCAAAAGAAGGTTTCGTAACCAGCAAGATTCAGAAACTACATTGGCAACCCCTCGGTACTCAGCTTCGGCACTGGACTTGGATATGGTAGCCTGCCGTTTAGAGGACCAAGAGATCAGATTATCACCAAGAAATACACAATACCCAGAAGTCGATCGTCTGGTATCTGGACATCCACCCCAATCAGCGTCTGTATAAGATACAAGGGTGGCAGTCGAAGATGGATAAAGGTGCAAGCCGTGATCTAGAGTGCCATGTATATAGCGCACAATGCGCTTGAGTGCATGCATATGTTCCTCCATAGGGTTATGCATGAATAAACAGATCTGCTGCACAGCATAAGAAATGTCGGGCCTCGTGAATGTCAGATATTGCAGGGCTCCTGCAAGGCTGCGATAATGTGATGGATCATCATACGGTGTGCTAGACGTAGCACTGAGTTTCGGTTTTGTATCAACCGGTGTGAGAGACGGCTTACAAGATGACATGCCAGCACGTTCTATGATTTCTTCTGCATATTTCCTCTGAGATAAAAATAAACCACCTGCATGACGAGTTACAGCTATACCCAAGAAATAACTCAATGGCCCCAAGTCTTTCATAGCAAATTCTGAGCTGAGAAGAGTCATGATAGACTTACGAAGAACATCAGAGGAAGCAGTTAAGATAATATCATCCACATATAGTAGAATATAAGCCATATCGGTACCTTTACGGTAGATGAAGAGAGAGTGATCAGATTTACTGTGAGAGAAACCAATAGAGGAGACATAATCTGCAAAACGCTTGTACCAAGCTCGAGGAGCTTGCTTAAGCCCATATAGAGATTTTCGCAGCAAACAAACATAATCAGGATGTACTGGGTCCTTAAAACCCATGGGCTGATGCATGTATACAGTTTCCTTGAGGTCTCCATGCAGAAAAGCATTTTGGTCCTTAAAACCCATGGGCTGATGCATGTATACAGTTTCCTTGAGGTCTCCATGCAGAAAAGCATTTTAACATCAAGCTGATGAATAGGCCATGTTTTAGAAAGAGCTAAACTGAGCACAGTGCGAATAGTAGCCGGTTTGACTACCAGACTAAAAGTCTCGCCACAATCCACGCCAACTTGTTGACCTGCACCATTACCTACAAGACGGGCTTTATGCCTCTCAAAAGAACCGTCAGATTTTTCTTTATGTCTAAAAATCCACATCGACCGAATCACATTAACATCAGGAGGACGAGGCACCAAATCCCAAGTCTTATTTTTAATAAGAGCATTATATTCATCATCCATGGCCATTTTCCAATTCGGGTCTTTAAGGGCAGACACGGGATTACGAGGTATGGGTGATTTTGTAATGTGGGTGTGAAGACCGTATTTCTTGTTCGGTTTGAAAATTCCATGTTGACTACGAGTGACTGGCCTTTGGGATGGAATTGGCGTTGGTTGGACAGGTGAGGGGGTGGTGGGCTGACTCGTGTTTAGGCTTGATACATGCGGTCCAGCAGCAGGAGGAATAAGAGAAGGGGAGGTATGTTGTTGCTGGACTGGTGGATTTGGAGCTGAGTTGGTGGTGTGGGTCGGACTGCTCATTATGGTAGGCGAGCTGGACTGGGCTCGTTGTTGTGAATCGGGTGATGCATGAGAAGGAGTAGGCGGGGTGAGCTGTACTTCAGATGGGCCTGTGTTTGAGGTCAGCTGGTGGATCATAAAAGGGGATAGGCCTTCATCAAGGAAATCGTAAGTACGAGGCAAGGGAGAATGCAGAGTAGCAAAGGGAAATTTTGATTCATCAAATATAACATGGCGGTTAATGATGATTTTATTCGAAGATAAATCGTAACACTTATAACCACGATGATTTGATGGATATCCCAAAAAGACACACGGAGTAGAACGGGCTTGAAGTTTATTTATAGTGGAAGAAGGAAAGAGGGGATAGCATAAGCACCCGAACACTCGAAGATGAGAATAAGATGGGTCTTTTTGGTAGAGAATTTTGAGAGGGGATTGATAGGCTAAATTTTTATTTGGAAGTATGTTGAGAAGATAGGTTGCCATTTGTAATGCATGATGCCAAAAATATGGAGGTAGAGAAGCATGGGCAAGTAAGGTTCTAATAATGTTGTTAATGGTGCGGATTTTTCTTTCGGCTTTTCCATTTTGTGATGATGTATGTGGACAAGAAAGGCGAAAATACATACCATTAGCTTTGCAAAAATCCCAAAATGGCCCATTATCAAATTCTTTACCATTATCGCATTGAATATTTTTAATTTCCCGTTCAAATTGAGTTCGAATGAAAACTCTAAAAGAGAGAAGAGTGGCAAAAACTTGTGACTTTTTAGACAACGGAAATGTCCACAAAAAATTAGAGTAATCATCCAACAATAGAATGTAATACCGATGGCCCGAAGAGCTCAAAACGGGAGATGTCCATAGATCACTATGAATAATGTCAAAAGGCATAAAAGTGCATGAATTCGAAGCAACAAAAGGCAATTTAACAAGTTTTCCAAGAGGACATGAGTGACAAAAATGAGAACTACGAGTGCTATTGCACTTAATAAATTTATTTAGCCTAAGGGAGTCTAAAACAGGTGCTCCCGCATGACCTAAACGTTCATGCCATAAAGAAGGTGCTAAAGCTGCAAAAGTTGATGGTGAGTTGACTTGATTTGTGGTGGGGGTGGGAGAGAGAGGGATTGAGGCCGAGCGAAATGGGAAATTGGGAATGAGTAGCGGCGGCTGGGATTTGGGAATGAGAGGAAATGAAGTTAGGGTTGAGGGTTTGGGACGGGTCGGGTAAACACAAACGAGTTTGAAAGTTTTGGGAATATATTCGGTCGGTTCGGGTCGGGTCGGTTTGAAAAGTTGTCAACCCGACCCGAACCGCCTTACTCTTAAAACCGCTTTTTTCGGGTCGGTTCGGGTCGGTTCGGTCGGTTTTTTCGGTTTGAACCGAACCATGCTCAGCCCTACATAAAAGTGCATGAATTCGAAGCAACAAAAGGCAATTTAACAAGCTTT